GATACTCCTAAATTACGTTTTTATTACATGCCTTCTAACTTGAAGAAATATTCTAGAGATTAGATGATTGCAAGAGTTAATCTTTGCTTCTTTTGAAAATTGGGGCTAAGGTAGTTGACTCTCTCTGATGTTTCCACAGCCCTTCTGTTACAGTGGATGATCTGAAGAGCCTTTTCATAGATGCTGGATGTTCAGTGAAGGCTTTTAAATTCTTTCAGTAAGTCCTTGCTTTCAAGAAATACATTAACATTATTTAATATTATATGCAGATTTTTAAGATAGTTCAGTAAAGTCTTCTGGTGGGGGAAGGAGTTTGGAAGCAAAATTAATTTGAAATCCTTTTATTTTTTTCTTACACTATTTTCAGGAAAGATCGCAAAATGGCACTCATTCAATTGGGATCTGTGGAAGAAGCAATCCAGGCCCTCATTGAGCTTCATAACCATGATCTTGGAGAAAATCACCACCTCAGAGTTTCTTTCTCAAAATCTACAATCTGACTTTTCTGTGAATCTTTCTTCTGAAACTGGACCACAATTTCAGTAAAACCTTCAGACATAGACTGAAGAAGCTCAAGACCAATTCTGCCTCTTTGACAAAAATAACTTTCTGAATTTGATATTCAAGTATATTTTAAAAAAATCAAAGGATGTTCTTTTTTTCTATTTTGTTTCCCTGCCAGTATGTGATCAAAGGTTTGTTTTTTCTTTGTACCATGGTCTCTATGAAAATAATCTTCAGGAAAAAATATTTTTTCAATAATTTAAATCCCTATATTAAATTAGATTTCAAGAGAATGAAATGAACTTTTAGTTTGGGTCCATATCAGCCTTACACAACATTTCTAAACTCCTTTGTACTTTGGAAAATTTAAACATATGGACTTTTAAAATTATTCAGTGTAATTTAAATCACTTACAACCAGTTTTTAACCTTGTTATTCAGAAGCTTGACCCCTTTAGAAAATTATGTTCACTTATTAATTACATCAAGTGTTTGCCATATTAAGTTGTATTTGGAAGCAGATTTATAAACCTACATATTTTCTTTCAGTGATAGCTTTTTTTCACTGGAAGACACTTCTTTGAATAATGCCTATCTTCAACTTTTCAAGACTATTTGGAAAAATGAAGTTTCTTAGCTGTCCCCAGGGAAATTAAGCAGAATCCAACTAGAATCTATTAAGATGTCAGAACAATTAATAATTTTATTAGGAAAAATCATGTTTTAAATTTCAACATAATACTTATTTGTCAATAATATCTTGGAACATTTTAAAAGAAAAATCCTACATATGAACTACTTTTTTATAATTGTTTTCAGAAAAAAAGTTTACAGTCTTAAGGAAAATATTCAGGTCTATCATATGGTTTGACAGATTTTTTAAAAGTTATTTTTGGTAAGGTCTTCTTTTAAAAAAAAATTAATCTCAAGGGTTTTTTGTACCACTATAATCTCTAATACTTATTCAGAATTACCGTGTATTTACTTAATTTCTTATTATGTGCCTTATTACGTGCTTAAGATACAATAGGTTAGAGTTTTATCTAAATATCTTGAAAGCTATATTGTGGGCTTGGTGAGCATTTTGTTTTTTCTTTCCCTGTTTTGGTAAAGATTTAAAAATGTTTTTCATTGCAATTTTAAGTGGTTTTCAATAAGTAATAGTTTATATTCAAATTTTTGGTGCTTTGGTGTAGAGATGGGGTGGGAAGGGTGAATGGTTTGGGGAATAACTCAGTGCACACCTGTAGGCCTCTTTACATTGCGACTGATAGCAGTTATTGCTAGTTATTGCATACCACTTTGGGGCTGTAGAATGCAATCTCAGTTTTGTCTTTATTGTCCATCAGAATTTATCTCAGGATTACTTGGTTTTTTTCAGTACTCAAATGACAACATGGTTTTCTTTGTTAATGTAATTTCATAACTGAGTGCCCACATATTTGGGGTATGAGAAGGTGGGTTCTTTTTCATATTCTGTCTCTTTCTTTTTGGTTGAATGTATGAGTACATTTTAATGTTGCCTCAGTGATTGTAAAATGTAAATTTTGATTTTGTTAATTTTTCTTTTGTGTTTGATCAAATTTTTTTTAAAGCCGAATTTGTCAAAAGGGTCATCTTTGTCCACTCCTTTTACACTTTGCAGGTTTTGGAAATGGCTCCTCTCAATTTTTAAAAGAAAATCTTACCAGGCATAGTGGAATGTGCCTGTAGCCCCAGTTACTCAGGAGGCTGAGGCAGGAGGATCACTTGAGCCCAGGGATTGGAGGCTATAATGAGCACATACATAAACAGTCATTTTACTCCAGCCTGGGCAAGATTGTGAGAGTATCTTTTTCTCTTTTTTATGTTCTAACCATTAATTTGAACATAGGGAGGTTGTTAAAAAAGAAAGTTAACAAACATTAGAGACAACAGG